GCTCTCGACGACATTCGCGGAGGAAAAGGAATACATGCACCTGCCAGGAAAGAATTGCGAGGAAGCGCCGCCTTGTCCCGACGGCAGACCCTGCGTGATGGCACCGCCGCATTGCAACATCGGCACTTGCGGCACGGATCTGGTACCGACATGCGGGGACAAACCCTAAATGCGCTCCGAGGGAAAATGTATGCCGAAAGGAAGATCCACGTTGCTATAATATATTATCTCTAATTCCCTACGTTGTATCTTCATGCTTTTTGCGATTAATAAAAAATATTGATATCGTTGTAATGCATGTATTACGATATGCAATATAAATAAAACATAAAACCGAACTTGCATGATAATTACAATGAACATCCGCATTTATCCTATTTATCCAATTAAAACGTTTATTAATAACGATGCACGTATTTCAGGATAAGTTCGAATTTATAATCGATATATTGCCCCCTTGATTCAAAAGCGACACAATTAAAAAAATGATTTCCATTAGTTAGATAGAGTTATTATCATGAATGAATTTAATGAACGCATTAATCATCAAAAGAAAAATTTAATTTTTTTTAGTTGTGCCACTTTTGGAGGAAAAATGTAATAAACTACTGCCTTGCTATCAATTATTCTATTATAATATATAGAACTCCCCCCCCCCACTCTCACTCTCTCTTTCTCTCTCACTCTCTCTGGGTTGCGAAACTGCGATCCGAAGCTTCACGTAAGAACCTCTTGGACATCGTGACCGAGGGTAAGCCGCAAAGCTTTCGCGTCAAAGCGCGAGTTGCATCGCGAGAAAAATTCGTATTAATTGCACCGATTTATGCAAAGTATCGCCTAGCAGCGGTTAGGCAAATTGTGTGTTAATTTCGCGATTGAGATCATTTTTTGTGCGTCGTGAAAAATTAATTACTTCGTTATACTTGTCCGTTAAATATATTTGTCTATATTTATATGTCTGCAACGTCGTTGGAAACGAGCGATATATATCGTATCGTCGGCGATACGTCACTACGGCCGACAAAATTTTGTGAGCTACATCAAAGATTATTCGCGTAGTGCGAGTCAAACGATCCTTCCGATCGCTAGAGAAGGCTCATTCGATTGTATTTCGTTGTTGGTTCGCGTCAAAAAACCGTCACCGAATACCGCGGAACTTGCACTGTCACGTCGTTAGCACCGTTTACGTTAATTGCGTCGATTATGGATTTACGTTGTTGTTGCATCACTTTTCTTTTTTATTATTCAGCTCGAATTAAAGTTTAAGTTATTATTTCAACATTATTATTGTTAATATTTAATAGTAATAAATATGCCGTTTATTGTTATGTTTGGCTTGAATTCCTCGCCTACTCGCCACCGTTCTCGAGTAATTAGCGTAAACGGCCCTAGTTTAAAACCCTGCCTGCTCCTCTGCCGTTAGGTCGAATTAGCCGATTCTCGTGTGAAAGACGATTATCGATATCCATCGTCATGTTATCGGTTCATGTTCGAAGAATTTTATTGTCGTTTTATTCTCACAAATTTAATTCGTAATTGACGCTGCCTTTGCGCGCGCCTCTGACTCACAACTCTTTCGCGATTCGCGAACCGTCAATCGCTAATCGAGAGATAATCGCGAGAGCTTACGTTCTCTCTCCCTGCATTCTCGTCTTTTAATTCGTGCCGTACGAGCGCAAGTTCACCTTGCGCGTGACAGCATATAGAGAATGGTTTACATAAAGTTTTGTGATTTAATATATAAAAAAACGCGATTAATTTTAATCATTTTGATCTCTTTCTGAATAATATTTTTAGAATGTTCCAAGTAAATAGCTAAACACTTTGAACATTTAATAAATTAAATTATGTTATATTTTTATTTTAAATAGAAATATAATTACTATCTATGCCATGAGTTTCATCAATATTACAGAGCATGGTTATTTTTGCTAAGAAATGATCAGATATGTGCACATATTATAATTTTATTATAGAATCAATACGCGAAAATCACATTTACTATCAAAAATAAGTATAAGAAAATATATTTCTGTCTTTTAGAGAAGCAACATCTATGCGACATATGCGGCAACGAGGCAATTTTTTCATGCGAAAACGCAAGTTTATCAGAAAAGTTCGGCAGTGCATCGCATAATTATTGGACCAACCACAATGTTGTCCACGGCACACACGTCACGCTCTATACAGGAACAAAAAGCGCAGGCTGGCGAAGACTGTGGGTACGGATGATATCGCGAAGGACTTCTGAACAATAGTGCCACGTGCGGTAAAAATATTGTATTATTCGTAACAATTATGTAACGATTTATACTTTGTACCTGTTATTTCTTTATAAGCAAATCGAACCGATTGCAGACTGTAATTAAAATTTTTAATATATATTCCCATATATGTTAAAGCGTTCCTCCAATTACGAATTTATTATTGCATCATGTGGATTTTTTTTGTAATGCGTTAATCGGTGAGATAATACAGACAATATATATTAGTCATATTTTTAAAATAATTATACAAACTTGTCATACGCAAATATTACACACAGGCATATAGATGTTGCGCATGTAGTGCAAACGATATACTTATTCAACACTGCAGTTTATCGATTAATGATGATGTTATGCACTTTTACGTTTTAGAAGAATGTTTACTGGTAATAAATTATCTGTCGTATTTTATAGGCATGTATATAATGTGTATTCAATTTATGTGGAACTTACAGTGAAAAATGGATGGCGAACAAATATGTGATCTATGTAAAATTTCCCATCAATGCACGTTATTTTTACCCGCACTTTTGCCGCTCATCATTCGATGAATGTCAATTGCAAATTTTTATCTCTACTGTCTACATAGATAATAGTGCGTGACATATGTTTCTAGCAGAATTCTCCTTCGACCCACATTATCTTAACATTTGCACAAATGGTGAATAATAAATTTAGTATTGTTTTGCGCCGGGCTGTCTGATCCTGCGCTTCCGGTTGTATTCTAGTAGTATAAAGTACCGACGGTATTTAAGCAAAACTGTCAAGTTATTGTGACCAGTTTGCGTCAACAGTCGGTTATAACCAGGTAAGTGTGCATCGCATTAAAATTTCCCCCGGATAGATTAGCGGAATAGATCCTCAGAAAGGTTTCGAAATTTACTAATCCACGGATGTAAGGGTTCGATATGTTTGTACGAACTTGAATAAATTTCACATTGTCATCTTTTTAAGCATTAGATTTATCTTAACATTTATCATAATTTTATTCCAACTTAGAATTTATTTTTTTTGAACATATTTTTTTTGTACTCAACTGCTATCTTCCATTTATGTTAATTCATTAAAAGTTAAAATTAAAGAATTAAAAATATAACAAAAACCAATTGGAATTATTATTAAAGTAAGGAATTTAAAAATGTCGATGAAGATAAATTAATTCAGCTTAACGACACAATAATCATTTGTTGTAAACTGTAAACTTATTTGTAATATCAAACATTATTGCTACTGTGATAAGCAATAAGTAATTAAATTTGTACTATGTATAATATAAAAAATATGTATATATTATCTTCTCCGCTTCTTAGTAGAGTTAGATTTGTATTAAACAATACATATCGAACTAACAACATGGACTCGACATAAAATGTTAAAGCATCTTAATACCTTATATCTTTGTATTTCTAGAGAAACATTTTCTTAATAATTAAAAAAGTATAAGCATTGGCATAAAGAGTTTTCTTTCAAATATTTCAAATATTTTTTCTGTCACAGAATATTTCTATTTAATTATGCATAACG